TGTGGACTGGTGTTGGGTTAATGTTGGACTTGTGGGCTTGGGCAGCATTGGGTTGGGATGTTTTCGTGATGCACCTTTTCTTTACATAAAACTCTCTTACACATGAGTTGTTGTGGATTTGTTTCTCCAAAGTACCCAGACGAACAGTCTCTCTCTTTGTGTCTGTCTCTGTGTGTCTGTATCTCGCCTCTCCCCCGTCTCCTCTGCCTCTCTCCACCTCTCTGTCTCCAGTGTGTCTGTCTCTCTCCTCTTTCTCCCCTCTCTGCCTCTTTGTGTGTCTGCCTGTCTCTCTCTCCCTCCCCTGTCTCTTCATGTGTGTCTGTCTCTCCCGTCTCTCTCTCTCCGCCTGTCTCCTCTGCCTTTCTCTGTGTCTGTCTCTCTGTCTCTTTCCCCCGTCTCTCATCTCTCTCTCCTGTCTGTCTCTCCCCCATCTCTGCCTCTCTCTGTGTGTCTCTCTCTCCCCCCTCTGCCTCTCTGTCTCCTGTCTCTCCTCTGTCTTTCTCTCCTCATTTCTCTGTCTCCTCTGCCTCTCCATCTCTCCCTCCTCTCTCTGTGTCTGTCTCCTCTGCCTCTCTGTCTCTCCCCTCCCCTCCTGTGTGTCTCTCCTCTCTCTATCTCTCCCTGTCTCTGTCTGTCTCTCCCCTCTACCTCTCTCTGTGTGTCCCGTCTCTCCTCTCTCCCTCTGTCTCTCCTCGTGTCTGTCTCTGTGTCTCTCTCCCCCCCTCTGTCTCTGTCTCTCTGTGTGTCTGTCTCTCTCTCTCCGCCCTGTCTCTCTGTGTCTCCCCTGTCTCCCTCTCTCTCTCCGCCTCTCTCTGTGTCTCTGTCAGTCTCTCTCTCTGCATGTCTGTCTCCTCTGTCTCTCTCTTCCGTCTCTCCCTCTCCGCGTGTCTCTCTCCACCTGTCTCCCCTGTCTCTCTCTGTGTTTCTCTCTCTCTCCCTGTGTGTCTGTCTCTCCCTCTCCCCCGTCTCTCTCTGTGTCTGTCTCTGCCTCCTCTGTGTGTGTGTGTGTCTCTTTCCCCTGTCTGTCTGTCTCCGCTCCGTGTGTCTGTCTCTCCTCTCTCCCCTATCTCTCTTTCTCTGTCTCCGTCTCTCTCTCTGTCTGTCTCCTGTGTGTCTCTCTCCCTTCTGTCTCCTCTGCCTCTCTCCTGTCTCTGTCTCTCCTCTCTCCCTGTCTCCGTCTCTCTCGTGTGTCTGCCTCTCTGTCTGTCTCTGTGTGTCCCCTGTCTATCTTTCTCCCCCCTGTGTCTCTGTCTCTCTCTCCCCTCTGCCTCTCTCTCCTCTGACCTCTGTGTGTCTCCTCTGTCTCCAGTGTGTCTGTCTGTCTCTCTCTGCCTTTCTCCTGTGTGTCTCTCTCTGCCTCTCTCTCCCCCTCCTGCCTCTCTTTGTGTCTGTCTCTGTCTCCCTATCTCCTCTCTCTCTGTGTCTGTCTCCTCTGTCTTTCTCTCTCCCTCCGCCTGTCTCATGTGTGTCTGTCTCTCATCTCTCTCCCTCCTGTCTCTTCTTTCTCTCTCCCGTCTGTCTCTGTCTGTCTCTCTCCCTGTCTCCCTCCGTCTCTCTCCTTGTGTGTCTGTCTCTCTCTCTCCCCCTGTCTCTCATCTCTCGTCTCTGTCTATCTTTCTCCCCCGTGTCTGTCTGTCTCTCTCCATCTCTTTGTCTTTCTCACTCTACCCCTCTCTCTGTCTGTCTCTGCGTGTCCCCTGTCTCTCTCTTGTCTCTGTCCTTCTCCCTCCCCCTCCCCCCTGTCTCCTCTCTCTCCTC